CCGCCCCGCCCTCAGAGCCCTCTGCACCCCCCCTCCCCAGGCCACGGGCAGTCCGGTGTCCATCTTCGTGTATGACGTGAAGCCCGGCGCCGAGGAGCAGACCCAGGTGGCCAAAGCTGCCTTCAAGCGCCTCAAAACCCTCCGGCACCCCAACATTCTGGCCTACATCGACGGGCTGGAGGTACCCACTGTCGGCGCCCCTCCGCCCCACAGCCCCCCTCTATTCTTATGCCGCTGGTTCCACCCCTCAGCACCCCCACCCCCCAGATGTGGCTCTTCCTCATCCCGTGCCCTGATCACCCCATGCTCCCTCCTCCAGACGGACAAATGCCTCCACATGGTGACGGAAGCCGTGACCCCCCTGGGCACGTACCTCAAGGCCCAAGTGGAGGCTGGTGGCCTGAAGGAGCTGGAGCTCTCCTGGGGGCTCCACCAAATCGTGGTGAGTGACAGGGCGGAAGTGACCAGGGCAGGGGTGGGGGCTGCAGGTGCTGGGGGTGACGACTCCTTCTGTCCCCCCAGAAAGCCCTCAGCTTCCTGGTCAATGACTGCAGCCTCATTCACAACAACGTCTGCCTGGCCGCTGTGTTCGTGGACCGAGCAGGGGAGTGGAAACTTGGGGGCCTGGACTACATGTACTCGGCCCAGGGCGACGGTGGGGGGCCCCCTCGCAAGGGGTACCCCGAGCTTGAGCAGTATGACCCCCCGGAGTTGGCTGACAGCAGTGGCCGAGCAGTTGGAGAGAAGTGGTGGGTGATGAAGGAAGGGGGACCGTCCCCCAACCTTTCACCCTGGGCTCCTGGCTCCTGAGTCCCTCCCCCGCCCCCTGCTGCCCGTCTGTGGAGGGAAGGCACTCGAGCTCTAGGGTGCACCCACTCCTCTCCTCCCTTCCCAGAATCTTGGGGGTGGGGCTGGAGAGGCAAGAGGCGTCCGGGTCAGGTGGTTTGGAATGTAGAAGCTGTTTGAGCTTAGTCCAATGACCTTGTTTCTCTTGGCCTCAGTTTCTTTATGTGCCAAATGGGGCTAATATTTGCTTGGTGACCCATTGAAAACAACAACAACAAAATAAACCCAACCTGAACTCACTGCCCTGAAGTCAATTCTGACTCACGGAGACCATATAAGACAGGGTAGAACTGCCCCGTCGCTTTCTGAGACTGTTACTCTTTACAGGAGTAGAAAGCCTCACTTTCCCCCAAGGAGCAGCTGGTGGTTTTAAACTGCTGGCCTCCCAGTTACAGTCCAATGAGTAACCCACTACGCTATAAGGCGGTTCTAGCCTTTCCTATAGGGTCACCAAGAGTCGGAATCGAGTGTGGTAGAGTTTGGGACCAGCCCAGGGCTGACTGCCCTGCAGTGGGGGCTGGAGGCCAGGCCTGCCCTGGTGGCAGCGGGGCCCTCACGGGCTCTGGTTTCCCCGCCACAGGTCAGCCGACATGTGGCGCCTGGGCTGCCTCATCTGGGAGGTCTTCAATGGACCCCTGGTGCGGGCGTCCGCCCTGCGCAATCCTGGGAAGGTGAGTGGCCCACCGTGGCTTTCCTTGGCCCCGCCCCTCCCTGCCATCCAGCCACCTTCTCCCTGACTCCGACCCTTCTCCCACAGATCCCCAAATCGCTAGTGCCCCACTACTGTGAGTTGGTCGGAGCCAACCCCAAGGTGCGCCCCAACCCGGCCCACTTCCTACAGAACTGCCGGGCGCCTGGTGGCTTCCTGAGCAACCGCTTTGTGGAGACCAACCTCTTCCTGGAGGAGATTCAGGTAAGCACCCACCCCACCTGTTCTCCCGTCGTCCCTGCGTACCTTGTGGGTCCCCATCATTGTGCACTGTGGAGGCAAACAGCTCAGGCCTCTACTGCAAGATAGGAGCCTGGTGAGGGGTGGGGAGTTTAGGGCAGAGGGCTGTGTGTGGCACTCAGGAGATGCCTAGGGGCTGCTCCTGTCTTCGTAAGCCCCCCAACCCTTGCCCGTGAATGGTGCCCTGGGCTTAGTGGGCAGCAGACGGGGGGAGGGGGGGGCCGAGTCAGAGGCAGACCCTCCCTCAAGGTTCTCGAAGTGAGAGTTCCCTAGGCACAGAAGATAACACACCAGACAGCCTGGGCCCTGGCAGTGGGGACAAGTCCTGGGAGGGGGGGGACAACAGCAGGGGCAGGGAGCTCAGGGCAGGGCTCTCTGGGAAACATGGAGTGGACCCCCTGGGGTGGCGGCTGGGGGAAGAGTGTGCCAGGTCAGGGACCAGTCTGCTCCGGAAGCTCTGGGAACCTTAGTGGCCGCATCTATGTGATGGGATAGTAGCACCTGCTCTCCAGGAGGGGTTTATGGGGAGAGGGGGGGACCCTTCCCAGCATACCTGTGTGACCCAGCCATGTGTGAGGCACTAGGGAGTGGCAGGCACAGCCCCAGCTCCTGGGGGGCTGAGACTCTCCGGCAGACACACGGCCACAGGTGAGGGGCCTGGCTGAGCTGGATCTTGAGGGGAAGCCACTGGGAGCTCCAAGCCCACCTGTGGGGTTGGGTCAAGTGGAGTTCTCACATGGCTGGCCCTGCAGGGCTGGCGACTGAAGCCCAGGAAGCACTCCCCCCTTCTTAAACTGCCCCGAGGAAGCTGGCGGACAGAGCTCGGGATGTGACGCTTCACGTGAAGTCTTGGGTGGGGTTGTCCCTCTGGGCCGTGGTACCCCTACACCTGTGATCAGAGTGCCAGGTCAGTCTCCCACACCAGGCCCGCCCGCCCCCAGGCCAGGTGGTGGCAGTGGGCAGTGGAACCACAGAGCACGCAGGGACTCTGGGAGTAGCCAGGGCCGGGTGGCCTTGAGGCTCAGCCTTCCTATTGTAAGTGGGGGGGCGTGATAGCACCTCTCTACAGGGGGTCCCTGCAAGGGTTCAGCCCTCCTTGACTGCTGGCTTGCTGTGTGACCTTGGACAAGTGCCTTGCCCTCTCTGAACCTCAGCTTCCTGAGTCAGATGTGAGTTCTGCTGGCACCTGCCCCTTGAAGTTATCTGCAAGGTTATTTGAGATGGTCTGGAAGGGCTGGCCTTGCGTGTAACCTACACTCCATCCCTCCCTCTTCCCAGCCTGCCGGGCACGTCCTCACCGGCGGTGCTGGACTTGCGCTGGCCCCGTCGGGGCCAGGGGACCTGAAAAAGCCTCACCCCCGCAGGGAGTCTTAGCTTCCTCGTCTGTGTGATGGGCAGCAGTGCTCACACCTGGGGCTGGCTGGGAGTGGAAGGAGGGGGATGGAAGGGGGCAGGTGCTCGGCAGGAGAGAGAATGGCAGCCCCCAGGTGACTGGCCATCAGGGGTGTCTCTTTGGGCCTTCACAGGAGCCTCCTTGGGAGGGGCCACCGTCAGGCCCCATTTTACGAATGTCAGGACTTGGCTCAGAGTGGGGACCCAAACCTAGACTGCAAGGCGCCCCTTCTGCCGCTTCAGGCTCGGGGTGACCCCCCCTCCGTCACCCATGGCTTAGGGGTGGGGGTCAAACTTACGCCTTCCTGCCTCTTGTCCATCCTCACTCCCCAGATCAAAGAGCCAGCGGAGAAGCAGAAGTTCTTTCAGGAGCTGAGCAAGAGCCTGGACTCATTCCCTGAGGGTTTCTGCCGCCACAAGGTGCTGCCGCAGCTGCTGACAGCCTTCGAGTTTGGGAACGCCGGGGCTGTGGTCCTCACGCCCCTCTTCAAGGTGAGTGGGGCTCGGAGCCTCATTGGGGACCCTCAGCAGGTGGGGGCTCACTTCTTGGAGCTTCGAGAATGGTGGAAGAGCCCTGAGGGCTGTCCCGGAAAAGACCTGGCTGGGCAGATCCCAGCTGGCATCCTGGTGGGTTGGCCTTTGGCCAGCTGGCCCGCCACCAGGGAGGCTGTGAGAATAGCTTGCCTTTGGGGACCTGAGATCATGCACCTCCACAGACCTCCGGCTTCAGAGCCCTCAGCTCTTCCTCCATTTCCTGGAGATAGCTGCCCTGCTGCCCAGAGGTCACTTGCCCACCACCCCGCTGGCTCCTTGGCTGGCTTGCCTGACTTCTGAGCTGAACCCTCTGGCCTCTGCTTGACAGAGGCACCTGCCATCACCTGCAAGGAGCCCAGATGGGATAGGGCTTACACATTGGGCTGTTAATCGCTAGGTCCGTGGTTCGAACCCACCAGCTAATGAAGCAGAAGGAAGAGGCTTTCTGCGCCAATAGAATTACAGCCTTGAAAACCCACGGGGGCAGCCCTACCCTGTTCTGTGGGGTCGCTTTGAATCAGAACTGCCGATGGCTGTGGGTTGGATTTGGGATCTGCCCTCACTGGAGAATCCCTTCCCATGTTGGGGTGGGATGGGGTAGAGAGTGGACCCTGGAGAAGCTGCAGGCAGAATGCTGTTGGGGGAGTGGGTGGGCCTGCGTATGGGCACCCACTTTCAGAGCGGGCACTGCTTGCAGGGTCTCCTCAGTGAGGCCCTGACCCTTGGAGAGGTGCATGCAAAGGGGCTGCCGAGGAAGGACCCTCCTCACCCGCTGCCATGCCTGCCCTGGGATTGTCTGGAAGAGAGCGCCAAGGAGTCAGAGGAGCCCATTGAAGGTGGCTGAGCCCCACCCTGTCCCCCTCACCACCCCCTCCAGGTGGGCAAGCTCCTGAGCGCGGAGGAGTATCAGCAGCAGGTGATCCCCGTGGTGGTAAAGATGTTTTCATCCACCGACCGTGCCATGCGCATCCGCCTCCTCCAGCAGGTAGGCACTTCGCTGGGACTGCCTGGTGCCCTGCCCCACCCTTAGCCTGCTGCTGGGGAAGTCCCAGCCACCCTCTCAAGCCCCAGGCAGTCCGCCAGAGCCCTTGCCCCGGCTGCACACTCCCTTTCCCTCAGCACACCCAGGTGAGGGGCTCAGCCCAGGGGACCCCGTTCTCTCACCTCTGGAGAGGGCAGTTTTCTGCCAACCTTTGGCTGTTGGGGTGAGATCTGGTGAATGGGATTAAGGGCTGGGGCTCCCAGCTGCAAGAAGAGGTGACCTTTGCCCCCGCACTGTGTGTGACTAAGCAGGCCCAGAGCCAGGCCTTTCCCCTCCATATAGTCCTGAGGCTGCAGAGGGGGGCAGGCGGGGACTTGGGGCTGACCGGGCTGCTGTGGGGACGGCAGGGGGAGCTGGCCGTGTCCTCACACCCACCCTGGGCCACAGATGGAGCAGTTCATCCAGTACCTCGACGAGCCGACGGTCAACACCCAGATCTTCCCGCACGTCGTCCACGGCTTCCTGGACACCAACCCCGCCATCCGGGAACAGACGGTCAAGGTGAGCAGGTCCAGGCCCAGCATGGCCGCCCTTGGCATTCAAGACTGGGCAGCGAGTGCCGGGGTGGTTTGCCCTGGACACCCAGGCTGGGGTTTTAGTCGTGGGCCTACAGTGTGGGTGCAGGAGGGACAGCCACTGAAGGGGGCAGGGGATCAGACCCTGAGCACCTGACCTGTCCCCCGTGTCACTCGGTACACAGGATGCCGAGCAGCAGGCAACAGGGCGCGGAGGCAGGGTGGGAAGGAGGGGGGCGAGAAGACGCAGGGCCAGAGATGCAGCCAGCCAGGCCACCTGCCCGAGGTTCCGAGGTTTGGGCCTGGGCAGGGGAGAGTGAGTGCCTGGTCACTGAGCCACAGGACCTTGTGGCTAGAGGCTCGCACACTGGGTAGTCAGCTCGCAGGGCTCTGGAAGCTGGTCCAGACCCTGGGAGGCACGGGGGTGTGGAGGGTAGTGGGGTGGGCCGGAGAAGAGGTCCAGGGCCTGACTCCAAACATTTGCAGGTAAGGCTGAAGGAGGGGACCTGAGAGGAGAAAAGGTCAGCAGAGAACCTGAGCAGAGTCCGGTTCAAAGAGCCAGGCAGCCTTCTTGGCAGGAGGGTGGGCATAGAGGAGGCAGGGATGTGGGCCAGGAAGCCTGGGCATGACCTCCAGGGCCTGTGGGGTCTTTCCAGGGTCTCGGCGGCGGAGGTGCTGGAGGTCTTGTAGACAAATTCCTCCAGTTGCTGCTGGGTGCTGGACGGGTTTGGGTCCCCAGCAGAGTGTGATCCTTTCAGGTGGAGGGAGGTGATGTAGAAGAAGCCGCTGTGGGCCAGGGGGCACAGGACCCATGACAGGCCTGGAGATGCAGTCCTGGAAGCCTGCCATGGGGTGGGGTGGGGCCACCCTGAGCCCTAGTTATGACGTGCTGGTTAGAAGAGGGACTTAGAGCTGGGGAGGGGGGGGGGCAGGCATCCCGGGCAGGGGGACTGTGCGGGCCCAGTGAGTCTGGAACGGAGTCCAGCCCAAACTTGGGCCCCTGTCAGTGCAGGTGCCACGGGGTGGGGCTCCAGGCAGGGCCTGTCTGCTCAGCCCCAAGGGGGGTCCACCGGCCCGGCCCACTATGTCCGCTGTCCCTACCCCGCAGTCCATGTTGCTCCTGGCTCCCAAGCTGAACGAGTCTAACCTCAACCTGGAACTGATGAAGCACTTTGCGCGGCTGCAGGCTAAGGATGAGCAGGGCCCCATCCGCTGCAACACTACCGTCTGCCTGGGCAAGATTGGCTCCTACCTCAGTGCCAGCGTGAGTGCCCGCTTGGCCCGGGGCTGGACTCCCGAGGGGGAGTCAGTTGGCCTCGGCCACACGGGGTGGGGCTGGTCTATAAGCTCAGCCAGGAGACGGGAAGGAATCGGCTAGGCCAGCCGGCGTTGGCGAAGGCCCAGGCCGTGGTCCTGAAGAGGGGCTGTGAGCCAGAGCTGGTGATCAGTTCTCACCTGCAGAGGGGGCTGGAATGAAGTTCCACCTTCCAGCCTTGGGGCCCTGGGACACAGGCCCCGGCAGTGTGGGGCTCGAGGTTGACCCTGTTGCCCACCCCGCCCCAGACCAGACACCGGGTCCTCACGTCAGCCTTCAGCAGAGCTACCAAGGACCCGTTTGCCCCATCCCGGGTTGCGGGCGTCCTCGGCTTTGCTGCCACCCACAACCTCTACTCCCTGAGTGACTGTGCCCACAAGATCTTGCCCGTGCTCTGCGGCCTCACTGTGGACCCTGAGAAATCTGTGCGGGACCAGGTAAGGCGGTTGCAGGGGCAGGTGTGGAGCCGGGGGTCAGGGACCTCTTGCTGACTCCCGGGAGCCTGAACCCCAGCTCTGCCCCTTGCGCCCAGGCCTTCAAGGCCATTCGAAGTTTCCTGTCCAAACTGGAGTCCGTGTCAGAGGACCCCACCCAGCTGGCAGAAGTGGGTGAGTGGTCCCCCAGACACAGTCCCTCATCCGTGACCCGAGGAACCCGGGAGAATCAAGGCCTGGGGAGGAGAGGGGCGCACTCTGGGTCCCTCAAGTTCTGTGCTCACAGAGACACCCCACCCCTGGGAGCCTGTGGTCCACACCCATCCCCCTCCCTTGCCCACCCAGAGAAGGACGTCCATGCGGCCTCCAGCCCTGGGATGGGAGGAGCCGCAGCCAGCTGGGCAGGCTGGGCAGTGACAGGAGTCTCATCGCTCACCTCCAAGCTGATCCGAACCCACCCCACGGCTGCCCCCGCCGCCGAGACCAGCACCCCCCAGCGCCCCCCGCCTGAGGGTGAGTGTCCCAGACTGGCTGCACCAATGGCTGAGAGCGCTTGGCTGGCTACCCTGAGATGCTGTTGGGGACCACAGGGATGGGATGCAGCTAGGCTGTCCTCACCGCTCACCACACAGCGACCTCCACCCTGATGGGGCCCAGTGTGTGGCCTTCAGTGAGTCTCTGCTTCCCAGGACTGCCGGCCCTAGCCCCCGTTCCCGCTGCCCCCACCACCACAAGCCACTGGGAGGCCCAGGAGGAGGGTAGGGACACAGCAGAGGACAGCAGCCCTGGCGACAGGTGGGACGACGAAGATTGGGGCAGTTTGGAGGTAAGTGGGGCTCAGTGGGCCTCCCTGGGGACCCCAGCCTAAAGGCCACAGGCTCCATTCAAGGGCCCCCAGGGGGCCCAAGTGCAGTCAGGAGTAGAAGGTGACACGTAGCTGAGCTCCTGACTCAACTTCAAGGGCCGCTGGGAGCAGTGGGAAGAGAGGCAGGGGTGGATGTCGCACCAGGCCTGGGGCAGGGGCGGGAGCTTTGTGCCAGGGCTTTGCATCAGCCTCCGCACTAGGAAGCAGGACGGAAGGGACAATAGACTACCTGGGAATGAGAAGGGGGCCGTGGGGGCTATTGCTTGGTCATGTGACCTTTTGTCTCCTTCCTTCCCTCCTTCCCACAGCAGGAGGCGGAGTCAGTGCTGGCCCAGCAGGATGACTGGAGTTCCGGGGGCCTGGCAGGCAGGCCAGCTCAGGTGAGCCAGGCTGGGCAGGGGTGGGGTGGGATGGGGTGTAAGAGTCCCCAGAGGGGGGCGTTTCAGCACTCCCATTCTCTCCTTCCCTCCTCACCTGCAGGCCGGCACCTCTGACCACAAATCCTCCTCGGACTCCACCTGGACCAACTGGGAGGCCGAGGGCTCGTGGGAGCAGGGCTGGCAGGAGCCGGAGCCCCCAGAACCACCCCCTGAGGGCACGCGATTGGCCAGCGAGTATAACTGGGGCAGCTCAGAACCCAGCGACAAGGGTGACCCCTTCGCTGGCCTGACCACACGTCGGGAGACAAGTGCCCAGGTGAGAGGCAGAGGGGAAAGGAGGGGCAGACCTGGAGGCGACCTTGACCTGGAGGCAGCCTTGACCCCGCCCCGGTTTCCCTTAGCAGCCGAGGCCAGACTCCTGGGGTGAGGACAGCTGGGAAGGCCTGGACACCGACCGTAAGTGCTTCCCTGGAAGGCCCAATGGCCTGGCTCCCTCAGCCTGGGCAGCCGTGGGGAGGGGGTCTCAGCTACACACACCACCCCTTCTGACCCCAGGCCAGGCCAAGGCGGAGCTGGCCCGGAAGAAGCGGGAGGAGCGACGGCGGGAGATGGAGGCCAAGCGCGCAGAGAGGAAGGCGTCCAAGGGCCCCATGAAGCTGGGCACTCGGAAGCTAGACTGAAGTGCAGGGTGGGCGCTCCCGGCTGGCGCGGAGAGCAGGCCCTGCGAGTGTATTTATTGTACAAACCATGTGAGTCTGGCCCTGGCCAGGCACCGCGAGTGTACAGAATCAGAGCCACAATAAATTCTATTTCACACCCCTGTCCTGGCCCACTCGGGCCCCTCTGCGGCGGCCAGCACGGTCTCCGGCCCCGAGGTGGGCTGCCCTCCGGCCGCCCTGGACGTCGTTTGTGTCAAAGCCAAGAGGAAAGAGGCACGAAGTGATCGATCCGTTTCTAGGCAACCCTCTGTGGGAGGAAAGCGGCAGCATTCAGCCCCGGATCCACCCCCCACTAGGCCGGTGGTCGCAAGCCGGGGGGTCACGATGGATGGATGCCTCTCCGTGTGCTGGGGTCAGAGTTCACCAACTGATCTGCGGACCCCAGAGAGTCTCAGACTGTCCTGCCGTCGGGCGGGACCGCTCCGTGGTCGCCGAGGTCCAGCGGGGGCAGCGTTAGCGGCGGCGCTGGGGCACGCAGGCCCCATGCGGGCGGCTGCGGGTGAAGCCAGCTTTGCAGACGCAGCGGAAGGAGCCGCTCGTGTTCACGCAGCGCTCGCTCTTACACAGCAGCCCGCGCTGGTTCAGCTCCCGGCACTCGTCGATGTCTACCAAGCGGGGAGCGGAGAGAGGCCGAGGTTCGCTGGGCTTCTGGTCCACTGCCGCCCGGCCCGGGGCCGCTGCCCTCCCCCTACTCACCAACGCAGCGGGCACGGGAGGAATCCAGCTGGAAGCCACCAGGACACTCACAGACAGCGCCGCTGGGCCGGGGCACGCAGCGGCCACTCACGCAGCGGCACTCGTCGGAATCCTCTTCCGAGCTGTCCTCGTCTGTGCCAGCATGGAGACCGTGGCGTCAACATCACCCGCAACGGGCGGCACCCACCCCTGTGCGCCCTTGGGCGGCCCACTCACCTCGCGGAGCCTTCCCCAGCAGCAGGGGGCTCGTGTCCCAGAAGGAATTGCTCTCGCTCTGCGATGTTGGGCACTGGGACCCTGGGCAGAGAGGGGGCATTCCGCAGCGTCAGTGCACCCCGCCACCACCCTACCCTCCAGACCTGGCACACCACACCCGCCCGGCTCACCAGCGCCCCGCGGTGGACAAGGGCGGCACTGTGCGCCCCAGCCTCGGCCCTGGCGGCAGCAGCAGTCCTCAAACGTGAGGGCAGGTCCAGCCAGGGGACCCGAGCACATGCCGTCCTCTCCGCGCTGACCCCAGCACACGTCACGCCGCCCCGGGGCGCGCTCTGCCGGGAGAGGAGCACGAGGACAAGGTCACCCCACTGTCCCCCACCCCACCTGCGTAAGGCAGCAGCCAGAATGGCCCTCGACCTCACCTGCTGGGCTCTCGGGTAGCTGGCAGTCCCGGCCGGAGGGCCCCGGCACCCAGGGGGTGCGGCACTCGCAGCGGTAGGAGCCTGGTAGGTTGACACAGCGGCCAGGGCGGCAAGCAGCTGGGTCCTGGCACTCGTCCACATCTGCGGGGGGTGGGGGAACACAGTGGCGGTCACAGCTCGGTTGGGGCCCTGCCCACCTCCCCAGGGCTCCGAGCCAGGCCTCACCCATCTCCTCTGGGCTCAGGCACTGGCGCTGTGCCGGGCTGTATTCGTTTGGAGGCGTGCAGGCGCAGCGGTAGCCACCGCGCGTGTTCTCGCACACTCCGTTCCGGCAGTTGGACTCATCCAGACACTCGTCCACATCTGCAGAGGACGGGTGGGTGTGTGTGAGGGGGGAGGTCCGTTGAGGTGCCCTGCACCCCCACCCGCAGCCACTCCGGCCAGCCGCTCACCCACGCACTCCAGCAGGTTCCCGTCGTAGTAGAAGCCCTGCTTGCAGTAGCACTCGTAGCCCGGCTGAGTGTTCACACACTTGCCCTCCTTGCAGATCTCCGCCCCGAATAACACGCACTCGTCGATGTCTGTGGAGGAGGTGGGTGGGGCTAGCTGGGTGGGCGGAGTCTATCTGTGGGCGGGGCTCTCCAGGCAGCTTCATAAGCATGATGGGCTGGGTGAGCCAGACACGCCCCCAGTGGGCGTGGCCACGGGCTTACCGCGGTGGGCTGGGATGCCGTAGTTGACAATATTGTTGTCCTGGGTGTAGCCTTTCCCGTCGGGGCAGAGGCTGTGGAACTCGGCTGCAGGCAGAGGGCAGCAGTGGGGCGGGAGAACAAAGCTAGCTGAGCACATGGGCTGTCCCGGCGGCCCGCACCCCACCCGACTGCCAACCACCCCTGGGGTCTATTTTCCCCGCTCCCTGTTCCCCCGGGGGCTGTAGGAGCCCCCCGTGGCCTAGCAGTTTGGAGCCTCCAGCCATCCTGTGGGAGAGAGATGAGGCTTTCTACTCCCATAAAGTCGGTCTCGGAATCCCACAGGGCTAGTTACACTCTGCCCTATAGGGTCGCTATGAGTCAAAAGTGGCTTAACGGCAGTGGCCGCCTCCTGACCTGAACTGGAAACTGGACAGGGGTAGATCTCGCAGTGGTCCCCCCAGCCGGCCCCCAGAGAGCAGCAGCACTCCTGCTGGGTGACGTTGGTGGCCAGCACGCTGTCACAGAACACCGTGTCATCAAAGTTAAGGTAGCACTCTTTCTTGTGGTGGGGCTGTTCCACCTCTGTGAGGGAGAGGGAGGCTTGGGGTCGCCAGAGGGACAACTGACCCCTCTTCCCCACCTGCCCGCCACGCCCTCCGGTCCTTCCCAGGCTCTCCCCGCGCCCTCAGTGTGGCATTCTGGGCCCTGTGAGTTTTGACCCCACCCGTCATCACCAGGCAAAAGGGATTTCCTCCTGTCCCTTAGATTTGGGGGGACCCGGTGGGATCTAACCACCACATTGCTTGGGAAGGGTTGTCTGGTGTGTGCAGGGAGGGCCCTTAAGACTCACCCTCACAGCCGTGCTGGTCCTGGGTGGGTGTGAAGCCCTCGTCGCAGATGCACACATAGGAGCCCTGCAGGTTCTCACAGGCCCCGTGAGGAAGGCACAGGCCCGGGTCCTGGCTGCACTCATCTATGTCTGTGATAGCAGGGGCGGGGGGCCACTGATAAGTGTGCCCAGGACCTCCCCCAAGCCCAGAACCCGGGTGTCCACTTTGATATGAAAGAACACACAATGGGAAGTCCGCTGGCTGGACTGGACATACTCGCTGCCGGCGTTCGGCCTAAAACCTTCAAAGGTCCCCCACTGATGACCCTCCAGCCCTGTGCCACCTAGACTGGGGTGGGGTGGGGGGAATCCCTTAAAGACCCAGTCCCAGCTGCCACCTCTCCTTGGCTATGACCATATTATCTCATCCAATGCATACATAGAAAGCAAGCCACACCCATAGAGCATGCATAGTAGAGGAGGCCACTGTGGCTGTGTGGTCACACCTGTTATTTGTGTGAAAGAAATACAGTAATCTTAAATCAACCCTTTGCTGGCACCGCTGTGAACCAAGAGAAGAGGTTACCACTCCAGTCTCCCCTAGCGGCTGCCCGGGATCAGTGTCCAAATCCCTAAGACTTAGCAGATTGCCCAGGACAGTCAGCGGCTGAAAGTGCACATGGTCCGGTTTTGGGGGAAGAACAACAAATGGCTATCTAGACAGAATGCAGCACCATGTCTGGCACCCAGTAGGCCCCCGGAAGGGGTTAACTATCAGTATTTCTCGGATCACTCTTATTCCAGGCAAGAGGGAAAAAAAGAGTAAGCAGATGTGGGGATGGAATGGCAGGTCACACCAATTGCTCCCTGCTGGGCCCCGCCCTCCAGCCCCTCCCCTCCTACCTTGGCACTTCCTGCCCCCCACCAGCCGGTACCCCTGGGGACAGAGGCATCGGTAGGAGCCATTGGTGTTCATGCAGTCACCCCCAATGCAGGTTACAGGGAAGTCACACTCATCGATGTCTGGTGAGGGGATTGAAAGAGTAGACAATCTCAGCACATGCACCGCCTGAACCTGCCGAGGTCTTCCCAAGCCCGGGGTCCCATGTGCCCATGTTCCAACTTGGGTCCGTGAGGATCTGGCTTGGCCCAGGTGGCTCCTTGGCCCAGGGCTTAGGCAGCAGGAATGTGGGGGAAGGGAGGGACAGGACAGATGGCCCCTCTTCCAGCCTCACCCTCACAGCGGCTCCGGTCCCTAGCCAGATGGTAGCCGGAGAGGCACTGACACTGGAAGGAGCCTGGCGTGTTGGTGCAGATGCCATTGTCACACACATCCTTGGACTCACACTCGTCCACGTCTGCGGAGAGTCAGGACAGGTGGTCTTGGGCCCCTGCTAGCCCATAGCCTGGAGCACCAGAGCTTGGGCCAGCAGGGCCCTGCCCCTCTCCCAGCCCCAGCGAGGGGAACAGGCCAGGTGCTGCTAGAGACCCTGGGTCAGGTGGAGGGGAGAGCACCAGGCATTTAAGACACCTTTCCTGCCTGCCTGCTTCACTCTCACGATTGGGGGAGCCCCTTCCTCCCATCCTCGATTCCCAGACTGTACTGGGCCTTCAGGAACCTCATGCCCAGACCCTGAAACCCCCATTCACCTTCTTCCTGCATAAACAAACTCCACTCTCTTTTTGCCCATCCCCCTTGCCGATATCCACAGTTGTACTATCTGCTCTTTAATCACTGTCCAAGCATCTTAAATGGGCAGCAGTGGGGTGAAGTCCCTCGACCCCTCCATCCCGTCCTGAATGTGAATCATCCCTGTATCCAGTGTCCCCCATCTGCATGTGCTACTCAGGTACTCCTTACTGCATGTTATCTCTTCCTGTGCCTAATCCACACGTTCACCTTTGTCACAGGTAGGTGGGTCTACAGGATAAAACACCACTCATGGGGTTGGTGCTCTCCTCAGTTTCAGGCCGCCCTGGGAACACATCCCCTGTGTATAGGGGGGCGCTACTGTGAAGTTTTCCTTGTGACATAAAAGGAGCCCTCAGCACCAGCTTCACTGAGTCCTCTCAGATGGACCCTGCTCCCCCAATGTTGTGTTGGGGCTAGCAGGTCAACTCACTTCTTGGATAACCTGGTCCAGCCTCACGGCTCATGTCCCTCCACTCCCTGGGCTGCCAAGCCCCTCACCTCAGTGTCAGCCACTCACCCTCAGATACATTAGGGACTTTTCTCACGAGGTCAGCC